CTCAGAAGATCCTTTCAAGAAGCAATAGTTACATGATGTTAAAAACACGCTCTGCAAACAAACTTTCTCTCTTTGTCCTGTGTCTTGTGCTTCTGTCCCCTAAGACTAATATCTCAAACCTTGAATGTTTAATATAAACATAACATTTGCAGGATACATGCATATAGTACTCAGGTACGTGTCCTGCAAGCGATTTTCCCCCCATGTGTTTTTTGGGGGCTTTTCAGCAAGTAGCTGAAGAAGTGAGCTGAATTCAGAGAGAAAGAGGGAAAGAAGGATTAACTATACTGGGCTCCACCCAAAGCAGTTTAAATGCCACGTTTAAACAGAAACGTCTCAGAAACACTTTCTTTCCCTCTGGCGTTCCTTTTCACTCACACACACACACACACACACACACACAGAATGAATAGACACAGCGTTCACACACACACACACACACACAAAGGCCCTCCCCAGGTGATGCCTCCGACGCTGCCTAATGTGGTGTGAGGTAATGCTTCAAAGAAAGGATGGAGAGCTTGGAAAGGGAGGGGTGGGCGTGTGTTGGGTGTAAAAGAGCGATAGAGAAAGACCCCGGAGAAACAGGGTCCTGCAGCTGGCTGGCCTTACACGTTTTATTGCGTTTGATGCCAGACAACCACATAGAACTCTACGCAAGACCTTGATCCACCTTTTTGATAACTTTAAATACGGTTTATTCCATGTCGATGCAGCAGAAAGGGGACAGTAGTGGTAGCAGCGGTAGCCGTTTGGTGCCGTTTTACTCTAAACCCACACACTTCTTGTACCTGAGCCTGCGAACAGAGAAAAGCAGCTCCATCTAAATCCGGCAGGAACATGATCCGTGTATCAGCTCTGCTCTGGCTCAGATCCGGAGTGGAAAATGTCAGACCTTGAGAGATAGGGATTAGTCGAGCCAGTCTAAAGGAATGCTGCTGCGCATGCCTTCCATTCGGGATGGAGGTTTACTACAGTGGGGATACATGTTGAGGGTGGGCGGGAGCAGACCACTGAGGAGTGTGTCCCTGGAGGAGCGTGTGCCTTTAGACTAAAGCGATATTACCCAGTTTGTGTCCTTTAAACCCGAGAACACAAACGTCCCTGCGCCCCCATCCTGAGGCTGGCTTTTAAACCTGGCCTCGTGTTTACACAGTGAGGTGATGCGTTTTGGTAGTCTGCTGTGACCTCATGGTTTTAAAACAGCTGCTAGTACTATAATGAAGGAAAGAACACACACACACACATCACAGGGAGACAGAAATTAGGTTTCTGGGAGGGTGTGTGTGGGGAAGGGGGAGGTGGGGGTCATCATTCTTTTCTGTTTTCAAACCTACAACCTTTAATCCCAAATGTTTAATGTATTGATAAAAAGCCACGATTGCAGAGACCCTGCAGCTTCATAGCTGCAGCACAACTGTTTGATTGTGTTGTCCCAACATGATTTTTAGTAGGAAAGTATAGTTTTAGCAAGTGTAACAAGGAAATATACCTTTTAGAACGGCATGAATCAAAACATTGAGCAGACTTGCACTGTGTTTACCACAAATTTCTATTTTAAACAAATATAACGTAACATTTTATCCCTACATGACAAAGACATGACACTTGATTGAATGGAAAAACTATAAAAAGAATGTTCCTGTCCACTCAATTGTAAAGAAAGAAATCTATTTAAAGTCTCATTTCGGCTGGTTCTGTGAATTTCACATAAATATGTCCTTATCTGGTATCACTGGGGTGTAAATGTGTTTGTATGATCTTTCTCTTTTATCCTGTAGTCGTATTCCCTGAAACACTATTACAGGATTATCACTTTCGGGCAAGAATATTGTCTTTCAGCACACAGTTTCTGCAAGATGTGTCTCGGCTGTTGCCATGACAACGCATAAAAACACACACACACATAGTGAGGTTGTGGCTGAATGTGGCTGACGTGTGATAAATGTGCTGACTGCTCCCTCTGGTGGTTTGAAGTTATCCTCCGTCTTGTCAAACCAGGGCCTGATAAGTTGTTCTGTGTTTATTAGCTGATAAACACACAGGAAGTGTTAATAGCATCATTTTTATGAGTAACATTTGTATTAATGGTAAGGTGAAACTGGCCGGTATTCATTTGTGTGATCAAACTCAGTGATCTCACAAAAATCTGCAAGAAACAGCTGTTCTTGACTTGCACAATGTGCCTCAGGGGCGGTTTAGCATCAGTCCAGCGGCTGACTTTGTAGTGCGCTAGCAGACACGTATCAATGCAACATTTTGTGAGTAGATTATCTCATGCCCTCTATCTTCTACATGCAGCCACAGGTAGAGCAAACACACTCACACAATGGACTCAGAGGACCACAGCAAGGTGGGGGAATATGGGGCAACATTGGAAACAAGAGCAATAGTCATTAGAGAGCGACAACAGGATCCGTCTTGCACTGCTGCCAGTTTCCGGGGTATTCTTGCAAATGAATACTATTCCACAGATAAAATGTACAACTTCATAGTTACACAAACAGACATCGTGGGTCTCTGCCGCTCGTCTGCTTTTACTCAATTGACGGCCGAGTGGCAGCACAGGTATATTTTGTTATGTGGTTGATTGAAGCTGCTCATTTCAAAGTTATTTTGAGAACCCAACTCCCTTAACGAAAGCGATTGAGGGAAATTTCATCCTAACCTATAAGGTGCAAAATGAAGCTTAAGTCGGATACATCATAGAAAGAGAAGCACAGACCTGTGCGGATCAGCTGCTTCAGTTTCTGCTTCATTGTACGAGCTACTTGCGTCTCACAGCTTAGGTCCATCATGATGTTATAGTACCACCTCTGCTTTTAGTAAGCCCAATCACATACACAGGCCCACAGTCCTGAGAGGAGTGATCAGGCAACTTTTTGAAAACACCTGTTTGCATTGAGGCCAACAGGCCCAATCCTTGGTCCTTGGCACGCAAGGCCCAATCCCAATCTCCACCCACGCCGACACACTTCGGCCAACTCTGTGAGGGTTTAGTTGAGTCCGACTGTCAAATTGTGTTTGAGGGCTCTCTGGCAGAAATTTATGCCCTTTATTAAAATCAAGGATTAAAGACAATATAAAAACAATATAAAGACATAAAATATGTAATGTCATTTAATATAAGCTGTTTTGACCAAAAAAAAGTAAAAGCCTTTATTAAGTTGACCTCATCTTGTGAGGAAAGAGCCTGGAGGACGTTAAAATCTAGGGAATACAAAATATCAAAATAAATGACCACAATTGTACAATTTTTTTTTGCGTTGCCTTAGTGACACAATATTTTGCAGAAAACTGCTGTCCTATTTGTAATTACACATGTTCAAGCTCTTGGAGACTCTCACACTGAAGCATTTACGAAGAGACGCCAGTAAGTACATGAGAGCACAATGGTCTGCGCCAAATATTTCCATATAATGTTGTCTCTAGTTGTGTTTTGTTTTTGTTTCTACTACGCATTCATTTCATAGAGCATCACTTAGAAACAGTTAGTGTACATGAAACAGTTCTTTGTTACCAACACAAAATTGTTGAGATAACTTGTATCCAGTAAAATGTGTTTTGCGAGATGACTGTCTGTGTATCAGACGTATGTCTCGGTAAACATTAACCTCTATCTCCAGATTCATGACAGCTTTCATATGACTTGATATCCAGACCACATTCAGTAATTACTAAAAGTAAAAAAAACTCAAAGTTTTATCAACAGAACTCATCTGACATATGAATAACAAGAACTAGTAATGGCCTTTTCTGTATAATTTTATCTCCTTAAGTGAGAAATTCCAAAATCTAAGGCCGACAGTCTGTTGATTTCACTGCAGAACTTTACAAAGAGCATGGCGAAGGCAGAGGCAGTGTCCGGTCCACCAAAGCCAGCCTGCTCCCTTTTAATAGACAACTAATGGAGAAAAATGAATGATGAATCCTAATGAAATATGGGAGAGGAAGGAGGAGAGGAATGTGTTTCCAACCATCCATGTCATATAATTTTGACTGTGATGAATTAAAGAAAATTATTGCAAAGTAAACTGTGTATTTATTGCAGGAGGTATAATTTATCACCTCCTGACCTGTCAGACTACTTAATCAATTAATGCCCAAGCATTAATCAATCTTCAGTATTTCCATGAAGCTAACAATGGATGTCATATGGAAGTGGTGATTCATCACAGGCTGACCATTTGAGAAGAAAATATACACTGCCTCTGCATAGGGCACATGCCGAACCTACTTTAAATATAAATAATAATGCAAATAGTTCTCACATTATCATAATAATTAAATGACAGTTCAGAAAGGTAAAATAATGGGCTGGGAAGAAAACATGAACATTTACGTCCAGATTATTTAGAATGAAACCACAGTACTAAACAGAGTCTTTTGAAAAATGGGCTAAATAGATATTTCTTTTCACAAAACGCATTTTGCATATGATGTGCAGTAAAACTATTTCAACGGTTGTTATGGTTTATGATAGATATTTATGTACATATTTGAATGTGCATGTAGAATATTTCATATTTTAAAAAGCATGAGTAACACATCCTGCGGAAATGTTGGAGATCTTTTCGATTCAGCAATTTATTGTGAATCCACAATTATGTTGAAATGCTGTCAAATGTAGACGTCGCTTCAACTTTCACTTTTGAGCCAATTATAAACGTATTTTTAATGGAAATGTGCTCGCTGGGAATTCTCCCCGTTGGTAATCCACGAAATTAAGCTTTCATCACCTTCAGGTAATTTACTAATAACACGTGTGCTCGGTCCTACTTGTGACGAAATACATGCACGTAATCAAGAGCAATGCAGTGAGTTGTTTTCATTCAAACTAATCTCTTACGTATGCATGGTGCTCCGCATGTCTGGTCGTGTACTCTGAAGTAAAATGTGACATTAAATGCATCACTTCCTGTCTGTGTGTGTCGTACGGATCACAATACTGAGGAACAGCACAAGCCGATTTTCAAATTTACCCCAGAGCCGTCTTGGCATTTTCCAATGAGAACACTGTCACAAATTATTGGATCAGCCCAATACTTTAGATCGATTTCCCCACAGAACGAGAATGCGTCATGTGACCGAATCAGCTGATCTGGAAAAAGAGCCGTTGGTGACGCCTCGTGTGACGCATGGCTTACGCTACGGTACGCCATTTGTGTCTAGCAGCAAAAAGCGCGGACAGTGGAAATAGTCGTATAACAAGAGGTAAGTACAATTGAGGTTTAAATGTATTTCCTAATAATGACAGGAGCTGAATTTATCAGAACGATAGACGGCTCTTGTGGGTGTTTTTAGGGCCTGTTTCGGGCACATAGAGCACTGTTTTAGGGTTCGATGTTAGCCTCCTTTTTGGGCCACTGTGATGCCGTCGTTTTCCAAACCATGGATCAGCTCAGACCCGCCTTTGTCACGCGCTGATTGGACCGCCCGGCTGATGGAGCAATTTCATTGGACGTTCGACGCGTGTCTCAAAGTACAGTCGAGAAACATGTCGCTAGTTAGCAAGTTAGCCGCGGTAGCCAGGAGCAGAATTCACAACAACTTCCCCTCACATATGTTTAGGTCAAAGGGCAATCTTCGCCGTTACGATTTTAAACGTGGTTTATTATAATGCAGCACGCGACAGTGGAAGTTTCACTTTTAACATTTTTTTTTACGGATTCTACGTTCACGTTTGCAAGCACAAGTACATCGAGGCTTAAGTTAACGTTATAATGACCCACTGCACACATCAAACGTACATCTACCGTTAGCTGAGGTACATTTATTATATATTACCTACTTGAATCCTTGCTAATAAAGAATACAATGCAGCCCAAAGGGTACATTAGTATACTTGTGAACCGTTGGTCTTACTGTCCTCTATGCTGGGCTGAAACGTATCGTTTGTCCCCTACATTTTAAACAAATCCTGGTTAATATGGTCACAGCGATTCCTGCAAATAAGTAAAACACCAGCAAATGATAAATAACAAGCACCAGTCTTTGTAATGTATGGGAAAAGAAACATTCCGCACACAGAGAAAATACATGCAAATATAGTTGCACTGAGCTTTCGTGAGTGCTTTAGAATTGCATTGACTCTACGCAGCAGAATAACACGCTGAGACTGTTCCAACAGTGTAACATTAGAAATATGGTTATTTATAACTAACTGTGAAGCTAAACTTGAAATGCTTTCACTGGTGCAATTCTGGCAACTTCTGGTGCGCTATTAATTATGTCCGTGAGCATTTAGTAATGTTTCTTAAACCAGCTTTGTATAAATGGGCCTTTATTAAATGGCTTTGACTTAAGTGGACTTGTTTTGGCAATAAATGAACTGCTACAGCAAGATCTCATTCCACAGAACAGTTTGTGCCTGGAAGCACTAGATGGCGACATTTACTCGTGTTTACGCAAACACGAGGTCAAATGAAAAATGGAATGTTTAGCAACAAAATTCGTGTCAAATGCACTCTACTTCTTTCCAGAATGTTTCACTAAATTGTGTTTCATACAATCGAAGATCCCAATGACATATTCAGTTTGTGTCCTTCCACAGTTTGATCCAGCTCTGATGATAGTGTTCAACGTCACCTTCGTATGATCATAGCGGGCTATGAAATGGATAAAGCATTGACATCAGGAAAGGAGGCTGATGGGGACAAAGGTGCTGACGATGACCCCAGTGGGAAGGTGCAGCCAGGTGACGTGGAAATGGAGGAAACCCAAAGTGACTCACCTGGTGGGGCCGCCAAGTCCAATGAAGCAGAGGAGGAGGTTACTGCGACGATACCGCGGCCGGACTCCGTACCAGTAGAGGGGGATAATCTCTGCGCTGTTTGTGGCTTCTCAGCCAAATGTCCAAGATCACTGAAGATCCACTTTTCAAGAAAGCACGGAAAGACTTCAAAGAATACCAAGAGAACTGCAAAGCCAGCTGAAGAGCATGTGTCAGACGGAAGTCCAGCTGAAATCAAACCGGAAGTGGACATGGAGACTGAGGGTGCCGCTGAAGTGCAACAAAGTCGGGAGCCCGATCTCGGCGAGTCGAGATTGGCAGCCGATGACGATGGCGGCAACGCAACTAGTTTAACCAAAAAGGCAACTGCGTTGGACAAAGAGCAGGCGGATCAAGAGGGGGCAGTCCCCTCCCAAGAGAGAAGAGTAAGCAAGAGAACCCCCAAACCCAAGATGATATATTCATGCAACTTCTGTGGACAAGAGTTTCGCGACAAGTCCCCTCTGGATGTGCACATCCAGAGCTACCACACCAAAGACACCCCGTACACGTGTGAGTATATGCTATCCTTAAGTTCAGTGCAAGTGGGAATTCAGAGATCTAAAGATTTTTGATAGCTTGTACGGTAGTTTGTTGCATCAAAATATTGATAGATTTGTCCAAATGTCAAGATCGCAACTACATCATCTCTTTCCCTTAATATGAAAATGTTTCAAATGATACCGAAAAGTGGCTTGAAAAAGTGTGTCCTTTGGAATGTTTTTCAGTTGAGGCCGGCGAGAACATGGACCAAGAGAAGAAGGCCGAGAATCCTGTCGGCACCCCGAAGGCGGCTCCGACCAGAGTGGCCCCGAAACGTGCGTTCAGCAGGTTCCAGCTCAAGTGTTCGCACTGCGACTTCAGGGTCAGCAACCCCGCGCTGCTGGAAAACCACACGAGGATAAAACACCTGAACCAGGAGTGGTACCGCTGCAAATTGTGCAACTTCCTCTCGGCCACCTCCGAGTGGATGGACGCTCACCTGTGCTCGGACGCTCACGTGCAGCAGCAGAAGGGAGAGAAAAGCAGCGACGGCGCCTCGTTTGACCTCTACGTCGAGAGCGTGAGGGGCGGCGGCGTCGAGGAGCTCGCCGCGGTGGAGGACCTGGCGGAGGTGTCTCGTGGAGGGGGCGCGGCGGCTCCGACGGAGGGTGCCCAGAAATCCGAGGCGGCCTCCGCAGCCGCGTCGGTTGAGGAAGAAGATTCGGAGCTCGAGCCCCCCAGAAAGAAGAGAGGCAGACCGAAACAAGGGTCCTCCACCACTTGTGGGTACTGTGGCCTGGTCGTGTCCAACGCCACCAACCTCACCGTCCACGTCCGCCGCAAGCACAGCAAGGAGTATGGCTACAGCTGCACTCTGTGCAACTACAGCTGCGTGACCAAAGGGGACATGGATCGCCACTGCATCACTCAGAAACACGTGAGGCGGGCGCAGGAGTGCGCTCAGCAACAACAACACAACAGCAGCAGCAGCGGCAACAATTGCATGAGTGCGTCATCGCAGGAATCCGCCGACGAATCAAAGGCTGATTCTGCAAAGCGTCGAATAGGAGCCGGAATTCTGACGACTCGGCCACCAAGGAGTGCGGCGGGGATTGTACCAACCGCCGTCGGACTCGAGCCCGAAAAAGAGTAAATACGACTCGGTCGGCGCTTGCAGCTCTTGCGATTTCGTCGCCCAGTCGATCCCCTCGCTCCATCTTCACGTCAAGAGAAAGCACACCAAAGATTTTGAGTACGTCTGCCTGGCGTGTTGCTACTACGCCGTAACGAGCAGGGAAATGTCTCGCCACGCCTTCACAGAGAAGCACAAGCAGAAGAGCCAGAGGTACCTGGAGCCGCTCGGCAGCGAGGAGCGGAAAGCGTCGACGCTCCCTTCTGAAGAGGTCGCCGAGCTAGCGGAGGCCGACCCTGATCCTGAAAGTGAGTGCATCGGCCCGACAGAGGGGTTCGAGTCTCGCTCCACAGACGGCCGAGCCGCCGACGGTCCAAACGCCGAGCCCGTCGCCGCCGCCGAGAAGCGGGAAGAGTGCGCCTCGTCCCCCAGTAGCGGTGAAGCCGATCCAACCAACGATGCCGCGGGAGCCGCGGAGGTGTGTGAACCCCAGCAGGCTCCGGCGGAGGAGGAGGAGGAGGAGGAGGAGGCGGCGGAGGAGGAGGATCGGTCCACGCGGCTGAAGAGCCGGGTGGAGGCGGCCCCAAACGCAGCCGAGGGGCTTTCCGACGCGGAAAGTGAAACCTCCCCCTCCGACACGCAAATATCCAGCGCTCTTCCCTACGACGCCTGCATCGTGTCCATGAAGGCCCTCGCCGAGCAGGAGCAGCAGATGCAGGCTCAAGACCTGGCCCAGGAGGGCGAGGCGGCCGCCGCTTGTCTGACCGGAGGGGCGCCGACGCCCGCCGGCTTCCTGTCCCACGACTCGGCGTACATCAGGAAGCTCCGGCGCAAGATAATGATGGTGAGCGCGGAGGACAACCGAAGCAGCGCGCGCATCCGCTGCGAGGACTGCGGCTTCATGGCCGACGGCGTCAGCGGCCTCAACGTCCACATCTCCATGAAGCACCCGTCCAAGGAGAAGCACTTCCACTGCCTGGTGTGCGGCAAGTCGTTCTACACCGAGAGCAACCTGCACCAGCACCTGACCAGCGCCGCCCACCTGCGCAACGAGCGCAACAGCGTGGAGGCGCTGCCCGAGGGCGGCGCCAGCTTCAAGTGCGTGAAGTGCACGGACCGCTTCGGCACGGAGCAGGACCTGTTCGTTCACATCAAGGAGAAGCACGAGGAGCTCCTGAGGGAGGTCAACAAGTACGTGCTGGAGGACACCGAGCAGATAAACCGCGAGCGCGAGGAGAACCAGGGCAGCGTGTGCAAGTACTGCGGCAAGGTGTGCAAGAGCAGCAACTCCATGGCCTTCCTGGCACACATTCGCACGCACACCGGTACGTATGCGTCTTCAAATTGACACACACACACACACACACACTCTGTTCGTCACATGCACGGCATACATGCACCAATGCAGTATGCATGCTGGGGAGTAGCAGGTCAAGGGTATTATCTCTTGTTTTTTGTATACAATACCTCATATTTTAAAGCAAAGTCTAAACCGTAGTAACAAATGCTGCATTTCAAATGCATTGTTCTTTCATCAACGTATTTGAACCAGTAATTCGATTTAGTCGTTCAACCTTCTTCTGCCGGGTTTGAATCCTTTTTATGGCACCAACCACGTCCCGTTTTTGCCAAAAGAAAAACGCACACTTTGTGTGGCTGCTCGGCACTAAGGCCTATTTGTTTTTAGGTACAATTGCATCGCGCCTCCTCTTAAGGCCGCTATCTGCTGCAGCCAGGTAATAGCTGTTTCAGTAGAGGTGAGGGTAAAGACTGATTGAGCTTCAGACCAGCAGGAGAGACGCTAATGGACCCCAGATTGGGATTCCCTGAGCAACGCTTGGTCCGAGACATGTGCGACTCATAATTGATGTGTCCATTACCAAGACTCAGTTGTAATTATAGTCAATAAGTCTCTGTAAATGTGTTAAAGCTTAGGCTAAAAGCATTGGAGGTCCAAAGAGAGGTGGGCTAATAATTTAAAATAATCAATGCAGACGTATTCAAAGCCTTTAATTTCCCTTGTGTCTGTACGTCCATGTTTGTGTGTGCGTGTGTGCGTGTGTGCGTGTGTGCGTGTGTGTGTGTGTGTGTGTGTGTGTGTGTGTGTGTGTGTGTGTGTGTGTGTGTGTGTGTGTGTGTGTGTGTGTGTGTGTGTGTGTGTGTGCGCACGCGCTCCCACACCTAGCCAACGTGTGTATATGTCAGCCTTCACGGCTTGCTGATTATCCTCAATCCATTAAGATTTATCTTGTCATTTATAATGCAAAGCAGGGCGGCGTTGGTCAGGACTCTCGGCGGGGAAATGTCCAGCAGGTTAAGAACATAGGGCGCTCCATTACTCCTCCCTGACCATGTGTATTAATTGCTTTTAAAATCAACTTAATGCAGGGACGAGATGTGAGGGCGACATCGATAAATGCCCCTTTCTGCCTCCTATGGTTCATCCCCCTTTCAGCCCAAACTTTAATGGGACTTTAATTGAAGTTCATGCTCTGTGCTTACCATGTCTGCGCGTGATTTTGTGTGTGTGTGTTGGAGATAAAATAGGATTTTTTTTTTTAACTCTGGCTCAGCGGCCTGAAGGCTTTTTGTGTACATATCGTAGCTTTCGTCAGAAAACCGCAAGATAATATTCCCTCGCTGAACACAGGGCAAAGTACTTAAAGCAGTGTGTGCACATCAAGTTCCCATGAATGAGTGTTGAGAGGGACAGTTTCCCGTTGAAGGAAACCTGTTTGGTCCTCTTAGTGCAGCATGCACGCCAGTCACCTTGTGGGCACAAAGTCAGATTGCTTAAAGTTGCGAGGAGGTTAAAACCCGGATGATTAATGTGCAGCCACCACTTTCTTCTTATTAACGAATAGTCTCGATGTATTCATCATTTTACACTGCGTCATAATTCTTCAGTTTTGAGGTCACTTACCTAAAGTTACTTAGTAAAATGAAATAAATGAAAGCTGTGACACTGAGGTCCCAACAGATGGCTTCCAGTCAAGGGCACATCTCCAGCTTTCAAATGATGAATACTTTATTTTTACTTTAAGGTTTACCTCTTTTTATTCGATTGAGTTATGTTCTTGTTTATGGGAATTACTTCCATTTACGCTCTTCTTATCTGTGGGAAGCAGCCATTTCTCTTCATTTTGACAACATATGCCATTCGTTGTTATTGCTACGTTCCCTCATTACAGTGAATTATTTACCTTTTTCAATGGCGGCCATTTATTCTGGAAGTTTGTTTGTGGGGCTGTGGAGGCGCACAGCAGGGGGTCTGCCTGTTTCTGGCTGGGAGCACGTCCAGATCCTTTTAATTAAGGCCTGGTTTTTATTCACTTGATTAATCAGGGAAATCAGGAGACGGTGGTGGGAGGCTGCACACAGATTTGTCAATTTGTCCCTTAAAGGAGACGTGTACACATGCTTGCAGTTTTGCCAACGAGGCTTCAGCTGGAATTTGCATTTTGAGCTAAATTGGTCACTTTTTCACAGGAGTGAGCTGTCTGACCTCAGCCCGGGGCTTTAAGCAAGACACACACGTGCATGCATGCAGCCTCGCACACAGGATGTGATGCTTGTTGGTACATAGAAGGGAAAATGAAGAAATGAAGTGTAGAACAGGTCAGACCTACAAAAATGGTATCTTTTGATATGGGATTTTTATGGCATATTTAGGGTCTACTGGAAGCCATGTATCTCGTTGAAAGGGCCTGTGCCGCGGCTTATTTCAACTCATCCCATTTTGATTTCTATCATTTATGCAGTAAAGTGGCCCGGTAGAATCACGTTTTGCACTCCTCTAGCAGGCCGTCAGTTTCCCACACGACAGATGTGCAGCGCGGCGAGTGACCCGGATTAAAACTCGTCTTTACCGATTACAAAGAAGCAGATGATCGCGAGGAATACCAATCCGTTTTGTAAAGCTTCCTGTCCCTTTTATTTACAGGATATGAAACCCGTGTGTTCAATCAAATACCATAATATTATTGACCAGCTTCATTGATGTCAAAATTGTAAAAAGAATAAGACTTGATAAATAATGGTGTGGTTGGCTGAGATGCAGCCTTATAACCCCATGAAAGGACGACTGACAATATGTGACGTCTAAGACTGTATGTTGCGTCATATCAGGATATCGATCCCCCCCGTCCCTCCCCGGTCCTCCTCCTCCAGCTTCCAGTTACTGTGTAACCCATTTTCCTTCCTTGTGCTGAGGTGCACAGGTGAAGTTCTAATCCACATATTCTACAGTCAAACACAAGTGTTGGCAGACTACAGTTATTTTGGATCCTTGATATGTGCCATGATATGAGATCATGATAACCGGCTGTGAGGATGTATGAGGTTGGACGTCGTGGCCGGAGGCTCTCAGGTGCTCACTGTGTATTTCAGACCAACAAAATAAAAAAAAAAAGTGGATTTTTATTCATACGAATGGATCATGTTTTAATTCTCTTCCCCCAAAACCCGAAGCTTGGCGGCGAGGATACGACGAGTGCTTCGCCGTATGAGAGTGAGCCGTTGCATGCGGTCCTCCTCTCCTCGCAGGAAATGAATTAGTCATTCCCCGTCTCATCGGGGAAGTGAGACGAGCCATCGCCTCTGTGTGGATGGCAATATTAATTTAACATGACACCGCATTGATGGTCAATTTCAGCTTCACGGAGGCTGTTTAAGTGGAGTGGTGGAGTATTAATGTGATAAGATGTGGGAACTGAGGGACGTTGCATCTCCCTCCTTGCTGCCATGTCTCATGCTCAGCCAGCCATCTGGACGAATCCGCTCCCCACACGCCCCCCTCTCACCTCAACGTTAGGTTGTGTGTGTGTGTGTGAGCGAGTGATTGTCTCTCCTTCTGTTTGTCCACGGGTGCTTGTCTTATGCATTCAATGTGTGCGTCTGCATGCACATGCATAGGTGTGATGGTGGGTGTGGTGTGAGTGTGCGCGTCTTTTTGTTTTAGTTCTTTTACGGGTGTTGATGACCGTGTTGTGTGCGATTTGTGTGTGAAAGTGTCCGCACATCGAGGTGTGAAGTGTGTTTACGTATAGGAGCTCTAATGTTTGTCCGCCTTTTAGTTGCGACTGTGCAGTGATTTGTGCGTACTGTAGGGACATGTGAAATGAAGAGGCTGCCTCCCCCCCGACCCCCCCTCCGTGTTTATGGGCCTTGTTAGCGCGCGCTTTCCTTTCAATCTTCGTTACCGGCTTAAAATTCGATGTGTCGTACTTCCAGCTCACAGCAAGTGAACCGTGTATGAACGAATTAGTAATCTACACAAAGTGCTTAATCAAATCAGCGGCGGCCCCTGGAATAAATATTGTAGAGCGTCTTGGGATGTCCGCTGCGAGCGGGCGAGGGCCGTGCTCACAGAGGCGTGCGTGGACACGCCAGGCTGCCACTTAGATTGGAGGGTCGCGCTGCGCGCGTGGCTCAGCCTGACAAACAAGACCGCCAGTTTGTTTTCATACCGAATGCATACGTTTGCAACTTGTGCGGTTAAAAGTTCTGCATTGTTTGTCACACCGAATGCAGACTGATGTCTGGACGCCAGGTTGAGTAACGAAGGCGAGCCGCCGGGTGACGGCGCCGCCCATCGGCCCTCGCTGCTCTGCTCTTACGTGACGGATGGCGGGCAGAGGCTGCGCCACTCTCTCAAGCGCTGCCGCGTCCCCGCCCACCCCGGACTTATTAATGACAATAATTAGGGAGAAACCCTCCCTGAGAAGCGCGCCAGAGTGATTAGCGCTTTAATGATGGAATGGGAGGTAGCGAGCGCTCACAGAATTGATTTACGCATTCGCCCTGACCTTTGGAATCCAATTTACGCATCCACAGGCAAAGGCAGAGTAGGGAAGAGATGGAGGAGCGTGACGAGGATGGATGGAGAGCGAGCGCCCGCCACCCGGAGTGTGACTGTAGTTTTTATGAGGGCGGCAGTCGGGCCGTGTGTTTTTACACCTCCTGGAGGTCACGGCTATTTTACAACTGCCGCCTCTTTTCTTTCAAGCCCGACATTGTGGCGGGACGTGAACCCTCCCCGTGCTTTTTGTTTTGCAGGATCCAAGCCCTTCATGTGTAAGATCTGCAACTTTGCCACCGCTCAGCTGGGCGACGCCAGGAACCACGTGAAGAGACACCTCGGCATGAGAGAGTACAAGTGCGACATCTGTGGGTGAGTTACAAGGAGCCACCTGTAAATACAACGAACGGCAACGCAGAGCGACAACAACTTATCCACTCCTAAAGAACTAGTGTGAACCATTAAAACGTCATCATACGCACACATCTACATGTGTGTATATACAGGTGTAGCCCAATGGATCTCTTGCTATGCAGAACGGAGGCCATAGCTCCGGTGGTGACGGTTAAACGAAGAACGGACCACCAGCAGGTTGTGTTTCTCCCGTCAGGTGTAGTAGGGTTAAATGCTGCTGTCAAAGGAGCAATCTGCTAATTATCTTCTGCACGGCCCACTTTAAATTGCATTTGTCCCGAGCTAATTCATAATTCAATCTACTTTAACCGTAATAAGCCTGACCCCTTCACAAGAGAAGTGGTTCTGTCGTGATGGAGATCTCTTGTCGAAAACGAGAGATTTCAATCTGTAAGAAAAGAAGAACATTAAAACCACACACTGCTTAAATGAGTCACATTTAATACACTCGCTGAAACGCCATTATTATTTAGGAAAGAAAGAAATCAATTAAAAGGCCATTTAACATTGACACGTTCCAAAAACAATCCAAACATTTTGGTAATAGTCACATCGTAATGTGTGAGTTCCTTAACCTGTAACCCCCCCCCCCCCTCCTCCAACACACACACGTTTCTTAAAAAGCAAATGTATTGCTCCTGTCCAGCGTTCCTTCCTGACTCCCCATTTTGTTTCAACTGTACAAATAATCCCAGTTGCAAGTCTGCGTAGGTAACTTTGAGTCCCACCGTCGTCGTCCCCCCTCACACGCTGACCATATGTTGTGTTCGGCTGGTTGCCGTGTTCAAATGGACGTGTTAAGCTGTTCAACATGCAGTCGGGGAATACGGTCAATTGTGTGATTCCCAGCTTTGTGCCACGGAGCCTCTGTGATGAGATGGAGAGTTATTAGCGTCTCCCTCAAACGGCTCCGTTCAGTCGCCCGGTGTGTTTTCTTTCCGTTGTTCCTTTCCAAACAAGCCGAGCAGAACCAACATGTTTATTTGCGCGCGCTGATGTTGGGAAAACGCATTACAGCGTGAGCAAAGCGCTTGGTGCTTTTTTGTTTTTTTGTTTTTTTAAACACGACTTCTCCTTCTAATGAGAGGAGAGGCTCATGCTTCTCCAGCCCCGCAGCCCCAAAACCCTCTCCTCCAAAGGTGCTGCCGGGCTGAGGCCCTTACACACACACACACACACACACAGAGCAGGTCCGCGACATGCCTCTTTTTAAGAAATGGGACCACTAAACACAGCCGCTGGTTCCTCAAATGATGCGGGCGGAGGAGCCGGGTTGACGAATGGGCCCGGTGTGTGCTCTCAGTGCTGACTGATCACCGGGCCGGCTGGCAAACTCAGAGAACCCCTCCCTCACCGCCCCCCAAAAAACCCATCATTAAGGCCACAGGCGCACACGCTCATCCTCTGGGACTGCTCCCGCGTCAGGAGACGTCCCTTCGATGTCCCTTCGACGTCCCTTCCTCGCCCCTATCTGATGTTTGAAGTGAGATTATATGTTGCGACTAAGTCCTGGATTCCCCTGCGGCTCAACATTTGGTTTGGTCAGACGTTGTATTTGTTAGTAATCACCATACATCATTTCAATTAAAACCAGCACAATATTAGTGTTTCATTCATCTATTTCCTCTCCACGGGACATGGAGTTTTGCTGCTTTAGTTTATTGCCATTTTGGTTCAGAGCACCGGCTCAGCATATTCTTTGTTTGTGTGTTTCTTTCTTCCCCCCCCTGCCCTCCCTGCCGCTCCCGTCGATTACAGTGTTTTCCCGGTTAAAGTTTCGGACGAGAAGATGATCTCGGGCGGTGACGCGGTGATCGAGCGCCCGCGCCGCCCCGCGGCTGTCCGCCTCGCTTTGGCTTCAGCGCTCCGGTTGAACTTGTTGATAGTTAAGATCATATTGTTGTGGCATTTAATTATCTAATGCAAATGCGAGGCCAGGGCGGTTTGGGACCCCCGACCACGCCGCCAATCAAGCCCAAGCGGGCCGGTCAGTGGCTCGCTCATCACTGCGAACACTTTATAGGCTTTCTGTCTCCGGCTCGCCGCTTCTCTCACTTCCCCCACACGGCCGCACGCACGCCTCCGTCCACCGATCTCCCCGCACGTGTCTTTGTTTTTAGAACGGACAGCTGCGTCCTAATTTGCCTATAAAGAACTCTTAAGGTGCCAAAAACAGAAAAACACAAATTGGCTGTTTGCATACAGGATACGATTTCTCATATTTAATTGGTTCGATAAAAAAAAGAAAAGTCCAACACAGGAGACTCCGATTATTGCATTTCCTCATGGCGTGTTTTGTCCACAGTGGGGCTCGGGCCACTTAATGAGCCTCCTCCTCTCCTCCATCATCTCGCACAAAGGCCCTGGATTCAGCATTTCCCCCCCTGCCTGCTCCTCCCCAAAGATGCACTGGACATCCAGTGCTGTTGTAGGTGTTAAATTATGCATAAACAGTGTAAATGCTTTGAGGCATTGGTTTAATATCTTCGCCCGGGCCTTGGAAGTGTTAACGCTATCGTGGACGAAGATGGTCCTCTTGCGTGCTGCTGTTTTCCTTTTTTTTTTTTTTTACCATTATGGGTCACGAGCCGCCCGTTTTCCTCGCGTTCAGGAGTTAGAGCGGAACTTCAAAACCTTTGGTCTCCTGACAAGTTTGCAACGTGCCGGAGTTGCTCCCCACTGCAGAGGAGGCTGCGCCTCCTCTCCCCCTCCTCCTCCCCTCCATCGTCGACTTTGTGTTAGAGAGAGAGTGTGTGTGTTTGTGTGTGTGTGTGTAGTAGTTTGACTGTTAACAGGATGGGGCTGGCTTGTGTCAGGGTTTTCATGTCCACCCCCCCCCCCCCGTCTTGTGAGATTGTCTGGTCTGTTCCTGGAATAGCCCATCAGTTCCGCCCTGCGTGGCTCATCCGCAGTAATGTGCCTTAATGCCCGGGCCTGTGTGAGTAGTGTGAGGCCTGGCAGTGACAGCGGAGGAGCATCTTAGCTCGCTGCTTATCCAGAGAAAGGCTTCACTTAACTCAGCCCCTCTATTGTCTGTGCACAGCCCTCCCCTTCTCCCCCGACGTGATTCTCTATAATCCTCCAACAGATTCTGGTTAGAACTCCCTGAGAACTATTTTTATGTTTTTTTTATTTTTTTTTATTCTTTCTTTTTCTTCCATTTAAACAGTAATGGTTGTTGCAGATGAAGAGCGGGATCCCTATGAGGATGATTATAATGTCACTCCGCTGATCTCCCGCCGCCCCGAAATAATTGTACATCATCGCTTCATAACGTGTCGGAGGGACACGTTGGTGCCGTGCAATTAAAACCGCAGAATATAATACACCAAATTACTGCCTGTCAGGCCCGCGAACAACACACTCCGTGTTTGAGTTACACTTAATCATCACGTACATTAGTGATTTTCGCTAAGATCCCTCCACTTAGTCCCACCCCCAGCCCCCCCTGCTCATGCAGCAGCGGCTTGGGGATATTGCCTGTGATATGTGTCCACCAGAATATGCAGTGGCTCCGGTGTAGCTTCGCATTTCTGTTTGGACCTTCTGAAAGGCTCGTGATGTCTCACATGTTGAAGCTCGAGAGGGTGCGCCCCCTGTTGGCCGCACACGGAAGCCTGCTTTTGTGTCATGTGTCTTCCTGAACTTCTGTACGGTAAAATCAGCCAACCACATACTTTATCTACATGGGTGTTGACCTTTCTTTCTTTGTCTTGATCAATGTCATTCATATGTACACGAGGAAGATGCACTGATGTCGGCGGCCGGCGAACACTCTGGAGTTTATGTCTGGGAACACGGCCCCTTGTCAGTCAGCGCGATCCCCTTCACCAAAATAAACACATTTTGCGCTGATGCATTTAGCAAAATTTAGTGTGCCATTATCGGGAATGAAATAAGTAACGCTAAAGGTCATTTTGCAAATAATGCAGAAAGGCTGGTCTGGAAAGGTTAAGTATGTGACAAAGCTGTTCTGATGATAACGAGGGCTGCACATGGCTCGGAGAGCCGGGCATCCTGGTTCGACTCGGCACTCCGCGATCGCTCTTTATGACCGAGACAGCTTTACAGCCCGTTACCCCCCATAACACGATAAAGCGCAGCATAATGGATTGGATGTGTTTAGTAGCCTTGGGCTGATGTTTTGTAAAATTAATGTTTTTTGCAATAGAAACACACTCATGCGCAGGGAAAAAAAGGCAAGAAAGCCAAAAGAGAGGAGAGAGAGAAATCAACTTTCAACCGCGGCGATGCATCAATATAAATCCACCAGTTTACAGTTAAACACTTTTTATACTTGTTTTGCAGCCGTTTTGTGGAACTTTATCTCCTAACAAAGCGCCGTGTTCTCGCAGATGTCTCCTCTAGATGAAGAGATGACAACAAACGTATGGCTTCATTAGGCCGCTTTGGATTCCGCAGAAAGGGGCGATGAATGCCGTTAGATTTGTGTTTCAAATTACAGTACTTGAGGGAGATAGGTCTGTTTGCTCGGCTGCTCTCGTGTCGGTGAAAGAGTTCTTTTTTTTGAAGGAGAAGAAATGAAATGGAAGCCCGAGAGCATCTCCGGGCGCCGCAGACAAAGGACTGTCTCTGTCAGCAGATCAGTCCCATTAGCTTTTAATAACAATTTCATATTCTTTAGTCGGCCCAGGGGGCTTCGTAATCAAAGCAAAGAAAGAAAAACAAACACAGGGTCCGGACACTAAGCGGCGAGATGGGTAGCGCAGGCAGGGAGCCGGCGCGGCACACGGGCTGAGTAGTAAGTTCTACTCCTCTGGAGGACAGTCTCACCTAAAACAATGACGTTCCTGTGGTCTTAGATCTTAGCACTTAGCAGTTTTCATTAAATCTCAAGTTGCAGGACTTGCAGGATGAAAATGAAGTAGTGAATGGAGTAAGATAATAATCTGTATTTATTTATTTAGTTTTTTGGGCCTTTTTATTTATTCATGAGT